CGATACCCCACATACCCGGGTTCGATACCCCACATACCCGGGTTCGATACCCCACATACCCGGGTTCGATACCCCACATACCCGGGTTCGATACCCCACATACCCGGGTTCGATACCCCACATGGCCGGGTTCGATACCCCACATGGCCGGGTTCGATACCTCACATGGCCGGGTTCCATACCCCACATACCCGGGTTCCATACCCCACATACCCGGGTTCGATACCCCACATACCCGGGTTCGATACCTCACATACCCGGGTTCGATACCCCACATACCCGGGTTCGATACCCCACATGGCCGGGCTCGATACCCCACATACCCGGGTTCGAAACCCCAAATGGCCGGGTTCGATACCCCACATACCCGGGTTCGATACCCCACATGGCCGGGTTCGATACCCCACATACCCGTGTTCGATACCCCACATACCCGGGTTCGATACACCACCTACCCGGGTTCGATACCCCACATACCCGGGTTCGATACACCACATACCCGGGTTCGATACCCCACATACCCGGGTTCGATACCCCACATACCCGGGTTCGATACCCCACATGGCACAATGTGTGAACCAGTATTTAGGGAAGCCTAGTGGTTAAAGCTTTCGATCGGCACGCTGAAGACCCGGGTTAGATTCCTCACATGGGGTACATTGTGTGAAGCTCATTTTTGGTGTCCCCGACATGATATTGCTGGAATATTGCTAATAGCGGCGTAAAACCATATTCAATCACTCATTCGTCACGCCGTGGACCCTGGTTCGCTTCCCCACATGGATACCATGTGTCATGACTATTTCAGATGTCCCCCTTGCCCCAAGCAGTGATACTGCTGGAAGGTAAGGTGAAATGGTGTTTAACGTCGCGTCCAAGATTATTGCACTTATATAGCGAAGTGCAAGTACGTGTGTGTGTGTTTGTGTGGCTGCTTGTACTAGTCCGGACTGATGCCGATTTATAGTGCTAGCCCACTGAGATACCATGCCGCAGTTTAACATGAATACCCCACTCAGACACAGTATACTGACTCCGAGCCGACCAGTCCTTGCTTTAGACCCTTAATGCCGAGCGCCAGACAGGGTAACAACAAGTACCATCTTTTTACGTCTTTTGGTATGACGCGGCCGGGGATCGAACCCCGGACCTTCGATCGCTCTCCGGGCGGACGCTCTACCACTAGACCACGGAGGCGGTCTGATACTGCTGGAAGGTACAAGTCACGTTTTTGTTTGTTTGTTTGTTGTTCAAAGCCGCACTCAGCAATATTCCAGCTATGTGACAGCGGTCTGCAAATAATTGAGTCTGGACCAGGCAATCCAGTAATTGACATCATGATCATCGATCCGCGCATTTTGGATACGATGACATGCATCAACCAAGTCTGACCACCCGACCCCGTTAGTCGCCTCTTACGACAAGCATAGTCGCTTTTTACAGCAAGCATGGGTTGCTGAAGACCTGTTCTACTCCGGATCTTCACAGGTCATGTTGAGTTTGTTATGTCACGGAGAGGAAAGCCCAAGTCCTATTTGATGGTTATCTTCACACTAAGAACGTCGAGAGACTGACTTGCGTACACTGGAAGTGTGTCAAGTCCACATGTAGAGGAAGACGCACGACAGTAGGAACCGTGATGAGGAATGCTACAGAGCATAACCATGCCCCTGAGGATAGCCAGAAGGTCCGGTTTATGAGCACCCTGAGGAAGAGAGCGAGAGAAGAGTCAACCCCGATGCACACCCTCTACAACGACGACGAATAATATCATAATCGTAATTAAATATTTATCTCAATCTATTCGTGTTTCTTGGGTTGTTCCATTGTATGAAATAGGTAACAGACTAGGGATTAGCAGTGCCATGGACCGTGAACTTTGTTGTCTTAAGCTGTAGGGGAAATGGGATTTAGGGGTTTTGGGAGGTTACCGTTACACCCAACTCAATTTCTACTTGTATAATAAATAATGGATATCAGAATACATACTGGTGTTATCCTGACTTAGTCACTGCCACTTGCAGACACTGATTACTACAGTTAGCGATGCCTGTCACGATGCACAGTCACACATTTATATAAATAACTAAAAGTGCTATTGTTTCACACTACCATTTGTATTGCTATCTACTTAAGCGAACATAATTCATCAACAACTGATTGTTTGCATATCCGTACACGCTGAATCTTTATTCCAAATGAGTAGTATATTTAAATACAGTAAAACCACCCCAAGTCGAACGCGAACTTGTTTGATATCAATTTAATTTGTTAGAATAGCTTTAGCACAATTTAGACGCTTATAGACTAATGGTGTAGCTATATATAGTACACCTGCACATCGCCTTGGCATTGTTAATATTGGTGGGGAACTAGTCACAGGCCTCTTAAGTCAGCTCCTCAACTCTAGAATGCACACTATTTTTGGTGTCTCCCGTCGTGATATTGCTGGAATATTGCTAAAAGCGGAGTAAAATCAAACTCACCCACTCACTCCTTTCTTGATCCCTGCTAATCACAACTTTGCTGTAAGGGTTCAGTATGCTTCTCATATGTTTGCAAATACTTGTCTGTAGTGTCATCATAGATGATATGATGCGACCTAGTTCCAATGATTACATATTGTGACACCTGGTGAGTGCTGGGGTCGGTGTAGGGAAATAATGTCCTTCTATGAAACCTAAATCAGATCCTGTAATTTCCCATCATTCTCGTCTGGGGGGATCAGCAATGGTTCCTGGAGGTTCGTGGCTCGTGCTTCAAACAGTTAAATGTTATTATTGTGCTAAAATATGTTGGACAAATTGCTTTGGTTGAAACTGTGATGGATGATTGTGTCATTCCATATCTTGCTCTCGTCGCTATATCACTACAATTGAGTGAGTGAGTGAGTATGGTTTTACACGCTTTTAGCAATATTCCAGCAATATCACGGCGGGGGACACCAGAAATGGGCTTAACACATTGTACCCATGTCGGGAACCGAACCCGGGTCTTTGGCGTGACGAGCGAACGCTTTAACCACTAGGCTACCCGACCGCCCTCACTACAATTGAATTCATACAAGAAACATATGACTACATTATGAGGATGTAATTAGTAGTTTGTCAGCTTCTTTGCAGCAACCGGAATCTTATGGACACGTGTGTTTGTTTGTTTGTTTGTTGTTTAACGCCTCACTCCGCAATATTCAAGCTGTATGAATACGGTCTGTGAATAATCATACCTCGACCAGACAAACCAGTGAATAATATGAGCAAGACACGTCACCGCACGAATTAAGTCCCTGGGCCAGAGCCGCCTCCTTGGTCTAGTGGTAGAGCGTCCGCCCGGAGAGCGGAAGGTCCGGGGTTCGATCCCCGGCCGCGTCATACCCAAAAGACGTTAAAAGATGGTACTTGTTGTTACCCTGTCTGGAGCTCGGCATAAAGGGGCTAAAACAAGGACTGGTCGGCTCGGAGCCAGTATACTGTGTCTGTGTAGTGTGTTCATGTTAAACTGCGGCATGGTATCTCAGTGAGCTAGCACTATAAACCGGCATAAGTCCGGACTAGTACAAGCAGCCACGAAAACACGTGCATGCACGTCGCTATATGAGTGCAATAATCTTGGACGCGACGTTAAACCCAATTTCACCTCACCTCATCGGATTACCCGATTTAGTAAATCGCCTTTTACGACCCGTAATGGCCAGATCACCAAATCGGGGTGGAAGGATGGCATAGTGATTGTATTTGCTTTTGAATCCAACATGATATAGAAAAAAACCAAAGGAAGTTTGTTATTAAAGAAACGTATGAACATTTCTTTTTATTCAAATCAGGATACACTTATACATGTGTCAAATATGCCAACTTTACAAACCTCTACAAAACAAACTGAAAATAGATAATCGATTTATTATTGGTGTTTTAATCGCCAAACACTATCCGTTCTTCTCCTCGAAGAATCACATAAATAAAGTTAAGATGTTAAGTGGAACATCCTCAAGGGTCATCAAAGATGTTTCATAATCACACACACCTGTTAACTCTAACATATATGATCTCAATTGTGCACCAACAGATAATCTATGATTTAATTATCAAAAGAATGTGCAGTTTAAAAGTGTGATATCAGCACCAATGAGTAAGTGAAATATATAGAGGTTATCACACTTGTGTGTTTGGGGATGGTAAATATCCTGCATTAGAAATAAACATTGTATTTAGCGAGCCTTGGCGAGCTAAATACATAGTGTTTATTCATAATACAGGATATTTACCATTCCTAAACACACAAGCGTGATAACCTCTTTATCATATAATGTCATTCTTCAATTCTGTGCTTGAAAATCGCTTCCCCTCACTCACGAACATTACCTAAACATTGCGAGTTTTCCTCGAGTGGAATGCGCGCATTAATATTTATTACGTCACGGGGTAAGTGATGTGTCAGTCGGACAGTGACAGTAGCCAATATAGTTCCAACTAAAATCTGTTTCTTATACAGCGGCGAAGCAACATATACGCGAAACAACAGTTGTTTTTACTTGTCTTTCGCGGCAATCCATCGGTCTGTCCGCTAGAGTAACTACTCTAACCCTAGTCTATGAGACGTCACGGCCACGTACAGACGTTGTTGACAGTCGGTCTGTCCTGTCATAACGTTAAGTGCAGTCAGACGTACACACAGCGACAAAACGAAACAAGGTAACAATTCAAACAAATTTCGGCCAAATCCAACTTTTTTAATTTATGGAAAAGATTTCAAGCACAGATATGGCTACTGATCCCGCTTGGCTAGGCCTAGTGCCCTCGCAAAATTGTTTCGAAATTAATATCTCCAAAGTTGCCAAAACTTATAAAATGCCTTAGCAACGTCACAGTTAGAAACTGATTGTCAGTATATTAGACTGTTCTTTTGATAATGATAGAATTATCCCTTTAGTTTATCCAGATTCCCGATGGTTAATTCTGACTTAATCGCGGAATGACAAGGGCGACGCCATGTTTGTTTATAAACACTGAAAGTAGTCCCAACTTGACCTTTGATATTTGCATCTCTATCCGCATATGACCCCAACGGATATCGTTTTTATCCATTGGCTTTATCCTGCCGAGAAACCTACCCATTATATGATGAAACACTCCAAATACGTTGATCTCTTGCTCACGTCAGGAACAGTTCATCGTGATGCTAGAAAATAACGATTTAGTACACTGATTTTAGGGTATCAGTAAGTCATCATCTGCATGGTTTCCTTCACCGGCTCGGCCAACAATGTCACCTTCACATAGAATATTTCTTACTCTCCCCTTAAACAGTTCTTTGGCCTCGGCCTCATCGTGCCACCGAATAAAAGTGGTGGACATCATCAGGGCACGCAGTGCTGATGTTACATGGCAAGTTTTGATATGGTCAAGTAGAATCACCACAATGTCAATTTCACATTTTAGGAATGAGTACAGAGCCAACTGGAGCTCAAATTTGCACCAATCGCTCTGCATGTATTCGTTAGAGATGACCAGGATGGTCTTTCTGCTTGTGTCCATAGCTTCAATCACATTGTCGATGATGAATTTTCCAGGGACGAAATCTCTTGTGTGTTCACAAAGTCGAAGACCGACTTCCTCCTCCAAGAAATTCAGGAGCTGACCGTGAACCCAGCCACCATCCTCGTTGCTGTAGGAGACGAAGGCGTCATATTTCATGTCCTCTGATTGACGTTGATGTTGACGTTGTCGCCGACGGCGTAGAAGAGAAATCCAGTAACGGAGGTACCAGCGATACCGATAAACCACCAGAGCTGTGACAGTGACCATGAAACACACAGACAACACTATGGTTAGAATAACAGTGTAGAGTTTTACAGTGGTACACGATTTTTCAGTCGGGTTAAAATCAGCAAGTCTAAGACGCTTTCCGCTGGATGATGTGCACTCATAATTACTTGGATAATTAGAAAACACGATGCTTTCATTGGCAATGACCTCTTTCATCCAGGTCCTGAACCACAGCAGGTCACATGAACACAGGAAGGGGTTGCCGGAGAGATCGATTTGCTTGAAACTGAGCCGGAACTCAAGAGGGAAGGTATCCTCCTTAATGATTTTGATGTTACAGCTTGCCAAGGTGAGTTTGCGAATGCTTGTTACGTTCGCAAAAACGCCACTGGTGAGGTTTGAAAGCTTATTCCCCAGTAGATTCAACACACGTAATTTCTTCAACGTCGAGAACACATCCGATGGTAGGTCATTAAGTCCTGCATACTGCATCGTTAGAAACTCAAGATTTTTTAAGCTCAACAGAAACAATTTCAAGCTCTTGCCAGCAATGTTTAGTTTAGTAAAACTGAATTGGAGCATTCCGAGATTTGGTGTGAATTTGAAAGCATTTTCTAGAATAGCACGAGCACCTGTAAATGGTGGGTTGTTAACATAATATAACTTGTACAGGCTTGTTGAATTGAACGCCAAAGATCCCACTGATTTCAAAGCCCACAGATTAGCAATATTTAAACTCTGAAGATTTGGTAGATTTGAGAAACCGTTGTCCGGCAAATGTTCAATTCTATTCTGTGAAAGTATCAGCTTGTTGAGCTTCTTCAGGCATATTATAGAGGTCACATCAAGACGTCGGATGGCATTGTCCTGTAAGTTTAACATTCGCAACAAAGGCATTAACGGTACACCCCTGTCTCCACATAAGGGAGGAATTGCGACAAGATTATTTCCGTCTAGATTTAGATGTATCAGATTTTGCAAAGGACTTTCAAGAATGAATGAGTTTATCCTATTTTCAGATAACTTCAACTGAGAAAGGTTGTAGGTCTGTGACAGGGCAGTTCCATTGAACACTTCTAATTCCTCCACAGTTAAAGCGAGATTTCGAAGGGATGTCAAATGCTGAAAGACCACTGCATCTATCGTTTTGATTGGTCCACCATTGCCTTTGATTATAAGACCCTCTAGATTACTCTTCATATTGTTTAAGGCTAACAGTATGTCTTGCAAAGGGAGAAGAGGTTGTTGCCACTCCAGTGCTTTGAGGAAGTGTAGATCCTCAAAAGCATCAGGTGATATTCCGCTGATGGCATTGTCTAACAGTTTGAGGGATGTGAGGTTCCTGTACTGTAGGTTGGCCATCATGTTTCTAGTGATATAACCAATATCCATACGACGCAATTCGACTGTTGTGGTGTTTGGGGGAGCTCTCGGAATACCTTTCCCACGTGAACACACCATAATAGAAGGATCACAATAACAGTTCGAGGGACAGCCGCTCACGGGCTTAGGTGAAAAGGCAACGAGCAGGAGACAGATGGTGATCATGATTCGAGAATCCCCTCTGCAACACAAATAATAGATGAAAATAGCATGAAAAAAATAACATCGATGGACGTTTAAAGGTAGAGCGGCATTATATAGAGTAGGGGGACTCTTCAAAGCAGCGTTGAACCCAACTCAATCATTCACTCATATGGGGCGGTAAGGGTAGCCTAGTGGTTAAAGCGTTTGCTCGTCACGCCAAAGACCAGGGTTCGATTCCCCCATGGGTACAATGTGTGAATCCGATTCTTTTGTCCCCCGCCGTGATATTGCTGGGGACCTATTTAGGTCCTGAAAGAGGGCCATTGGTACAACAAAATATTGTGTGTTTGGTGGTGAATAGCTTGAGTGAGTGAGTGAGTTAGTGAGTGAGTGTTTCGTTAATTACGGCATGATAGGAAGTGGGAGGAAAGCAGAAAGTGATTTGGGTTTAGACGTGAACCACATTTGTGAAACCCACCAGCCTGGGTTTGGTACTTACACAGAGACATACTCAGGGTGAATCTGGCTTTTTTAATGTTGATGGATGCCATTGCGAATTGCGGCGCCGAAAACGACTGACCCTCCCTCACGCCCTCATCGAGTTGAAGAGACCCTAATCAGAAGATCGAATAGAAATACAAAGAGTTTGTTTCTTGCTGTCAAGACACGTTGGCTTATGAATACTTCACAGACCATATAGATGGGGACTTTATGACAACAATGGTGATCGAGGGTGATCACTTGGGGGAGTTGCATGTATGCATGTTCCAGTGCTTCACCACTTTCTTTGAAGCAGAATCTCATAACTTGTTTACAGCAGCCGTAATTAAAACTTAACATAAACCTTTTATTAGTTTCAATAAAAAAGTGCCTTTTCTGTGCACTATTTTCTGGTCCACCGATCACTTGATTGTCTGCTTTAATTTGTTAACAGGCTGCCGTCTCATGGCGGAAATACTGCTGTGCTGCGTCAGGCAATGAATACTTAGTTTCTGTGCAAATTGTGTGCTCCGGGGTAGCGTAGGTCTTCAGCAACCCATGCTTTCCGTAATAGGCGACTATGCTTGTCGTAAGAGGCGACTAACAGGATCGGATGGTCAGGCTCGCTGACTTGGTTGATGCATATCATCGTATCCCAATTGCGTGGATCGATGCTCACGATATCAATCACCGGATTGTCTGGTCCAGACTCGATTATTTACAGAACGCCGTCATATAGCTGGAAGATTGCTGATCGCGGCGTTAATAAAAAAACAAACCAAACCAATGCGCTGATTGCTATATATTGCGAAATCTTTAGCCATCTATAGTTTTGTTAACAATAGACAATGTTAAGGGCAGATAATGATGCCTTAAAGAAGTAATGTCCATATACATAGACTTTCAGCTCGATCGCTCAGTTAAAACACAAGAACACATATACATACAATGAAACAAAATATACCCAATTGTAGTTCTACACATCAAAATTAATATCAGTTATGTCATCATGTTAGTTTCCCTCAATATTGAAGCCTGATATTGATAATAAGATAGCCATACAGTATCGGTTTAATGTTGGAAGCATGTCTGAAATGATACATCCATTTGGTGAATCCCACGAGCGTGGATATGATGCTGACAAACGGAGAATGATTATCAGGTCGAAACTGTCTTGCCTAACGGAAGAAACTCCGCACATCGAGTTGCGGCTCCTTTGTGGACTGAGCCCCCTGCACACTTGGTCGAGGTAAATTTAGAATTTAGATATTAAGTAGATATTATTATCTTCAAACAATGTGAAATCCCTTTCAATCATAAAACGTCCTTTTACGATTACGACTTTATCATAAGGCTGTGTTTATAAATCACTTTCAATTAGTGATAGCACCGTGTGTTCGCGAAGATATCACTCGTCATGAACACACGCAAAGGCTAGTCAAGTGTCCAGCTAAACAAACAGGGTAACATATTGTACAAATCAAAAATAGGGAATTGCATAAATATGGTTACTGATGTGTCAACATTTGAAGTGTTCTCCTCGTGTCTACCATTAAACGTTTTGCAAGCTTTACTAAGGCCTTGAATGCTGTAACCAAATGTAACCAAATGTAACCAAATGTTATCAAATGTTGACTTACATACCGCTGCTGCTATGGTTAAGGCTTGTTATGTCCGTGTCCCTCCTGTTTCTAGCCGACGATGAAAGGTCACTTCAACAAGTTTCAGGAAGTTTACTGGCTGAATCATTTCCCCAACACGAGACAGCGATCATCATAATATCTGAACAATAACAAATTCACTGCCGTGACGCCCCCGATGATTCCAGAGTAGAGTTTTTCCTCAGTGTATTCAATGTTATTCAAGAAAACAATATTTGAGGATAGGGTGATCAAAACAAATGAGTTGAAAAAGGGTTTAACGTCGCGTTCAAGATTATTGTACTTATATAGTGAGTGAGTATGGTTTTACGCCGCTTTTAGCAATATTCCAGCAATATCACGGCGGGGGACACCACAAATGGGCTTCACACATTGTACCCATGTCGGGAATCGAACCTGGGTCTTCGGCGTGACGATCGAACGCTCTAACCACTAGGCTACCAAACCGCCCCACTTATATAGTGACGTGCATGCACGTGTGTGTGTGTTTGGCTGCTTGTACTAATGCCGATTTAATAGTGCTAGCCCACTTTGGTACCATGTCGCAGTTTAACATGAAAACCCCATTAGGCACAGTATACTCCGAGCCGACCAGTCCTTGTTTTAGCCCCTTAACAGACCAGGCAGGGTAACAACAAGTACCACTTTTTAACGTTTTTAACTGGAATACTCTTCAAAGCGGCGTTGAACCCAACTAAATCACTCACTCATATGGGGCGGTAAGGGTAGCCTAGTGGTTAAAGCGTTTGCTCGTCACGCCAAAGACCAGGGTTCGATTCCCCCATGGTTACAATGTGTGAATCCGATTCCTTTGTCCCCCGCCGTGATATTGCTGGGGACCTATTTAGGTCCTGAAAGAGGGCCATTGGTACAACAAAATATTGTGTGTTAGGTGGTGAATAGCTTGAGTGAGTGAGTGAGTGAGTGAGTGAGTGAGTGAGTGAGTGAGTGTTTCGTTAATTACGGCATGATAGGAAGTGGGAGGAAAGCAGAAAGTGATTTGGGTTTAGACGTGAACCACATTTGTGAAACCCACCAGCCTGGGTATGGTACTTACACAGAGACATACTTAGGGTGATTCAGGCTTTTTTAATGTTGGTGGATGCCATTGCGAATTGCGGCGCCGAAAACGACTGACCCTCCCTCACGCCCTCATCGAGTTGAAGAGACCCTAATCAGAAGATCGAATAGAAATACAAAGAGTTTGTTTCTTGCTGTCAAGACACGTTGGCTTATGAATACTTCACAGACATGTTAGTTATATGAAATAATTTCCGAAGAAATGACGAAATATTTGCTTTCATTTTGAGTAAAGCAACCCATATTGCCGTTGGTACTTTCTGAATCAGTTTAGTTGAAAACGCGCCATTTGAGTGCCTGAGTGAGTGAGTGAGTATAGTTTTACGCCGCTTTTAGCATTATTCCAGCAATATCACGGCGTGGGACACCACAAATGGGCTTCACACATTGTACCAATGTCGGGAATCGAACCCGGGTCTTCGGCGTGACGAGCGAAAGCTTTAACTACTTTTTACACGTGTTGCTTAATTCACTAACGACACATGCACACCAAAATTTGAAAAAGGTGAGGTGAGGTGAAATGGGGTTTAACGTCGCGTCCAAGATTATTGCACTTACACATGGACGTGTGTTTGTTTGTGTGGCTGCTTGTACTAGTCCGGACTGATGCCGATTTATAGCGCTAGCTCACTGAGAAACCATGCCGCAGTTTAACGTAAATACCCCACTCAGACACAGTATACTGACTCCGAGCCGACCAGTCCTTGTTTTAGACCCTTAATGCCGAGCGCCAGACAGGGTAACAACAAGTACCATCTTTTAACGTCTTTTGGTATGACGCGGCTGGGGATCGAACCCCTGACCGCTCTCCGGGCGGACGCTCTACCACTAGACCACGGAGGCGGTCTTGAAAAAGGCGACAACGAGACAATGAATAGGTCGCATTATCACACTGTCATACATTTTAAGGCTATTTTAGATTGGGGTCAATGCGACAGCGCAACATATATTTACTTTTTTAATAAACGTTGCATTGTCGTCCTTTGTTAAAAAAACCCAGACCATCAAATGTATATCAGACAATTCGACCCTTCGAGGATTCCATATTAAATGACCCGGATGTAATATAGCAACAATAATGACTTCCTGAGTTGAATTGCATAATACTAATACTTATCACTTCCTGTTTATCTGAAACACGCGTACAGGATCTTGCCATTGATGTCGGTTTCCCCGAAACACAGTCGTTTCTTAATGTTAGGTCTTCAGGAACCCATGCTTGCCGTAAAAAGCGGCTATGCTTGTCGTAAGAGGCTACTAACGGGAACGGGACTCGCTGACTGGTTGATGCATGTCATCGTATCCTATTTACGTAGAATGATACTCATGATGTCAATTACTGGATTGTCTGGTCCAGACTCGATTATTTACAGACCGCCATCATATAGCTGGAATATTAGTGCGTCGTTAAAAACAAACAAAGAAACAAACAAACAAAGAAATCATATTCAAATTTAAAGGGCAAAATAGGATTTAAAGTCTATGTCAAAGCTTTGCAAATACATGCAAATGGCATCGCCATTTTGAATTATAACTCAAAAGCAATATTATCCAAATTGAACAGACAAGCCTATTAATACCAAACGTTATAATGTAGAGAAATGTATTTCATAAATGTAGACAAGCATTTTACGCGAATTCCATTCATGATAATGTTTTTTGAAATTTCTGTAATTTTTTGTTTTTATTTGAAAAATTCATGTTTTGTCTTAAAGGGGATATAAAGGGGAATGTGTTTTCGCTTTCCTTTCGGAGGTAGGGGCATAACGGCGCGAATCTTTTTCTCTCACATATGTCAAATGTTCCCTCATAAATTAAAAATCGTGTCGTGTTAATTTGATGCACATCAAATAAAACCATCTGAACTTTGCAATGTTTGTCAGTTGTCAAGCGTAAGATGTACAGGATATACGTCTTCTGTTTGCAACAACGAAGCTCAAAACAGAAATAACCCCAAGTAACCAAATTGTATGGGTTTACTGTACAACAACCCCCCATCTTGAACCTTTGTTTTCATCGATGTTGTATGTGCGTACCATTCATTTGATTACATAGCATATGTACATGGCAGTGTTGATTCTTTCTACTGACGTGTGTGTGTGTGTGTGTGTGTGTGTGTGTGTGTGTGTGTGTGCGTGCGTGTTTGTGCGTGCGTGCGTGCGTGTGTGTGCGTGCGTCTGTTTGTTTGACGGATATCTAAGATGCATAACAATTATTGATCTAAGGATGGGACGTTAGTCTAAATATATAATGTAGGAACGTTGTGGCGCGAGAGGACAAATCAACCAATGTCGATTGATTTATTGATTGAATACACGCGGCACTGATAATCTTGAAATTAAGTAACTATTACATGTAGTTTCATGACATGAACAAAATCACGACAATAGACCAGACAGATGCAGACCAAAGTCCATGATCAACATTTTGTTTGTTTGTTGTTTAACGCCGCACTTAGCAATATTCCAGCAATATGACGGCGGTCTGTAAATAATCGAGTCTGGATCAGACAATCCAGTGATTGACATAATGAGCATCATGCAAATGCAGTCAGACGGTTGAATGATTAATAAGCATCCGCCTCGATGTAGCTGGAATTGCTGACTGCGTTACGCCTTTACAGTTGCGATAATGTCGTTTATCAAGGTGTATGTGTGTGTGTGTTTGGAGTGTGTGTGTGTTTGGAGTGTGTGTGTGTGGAATGAGTGTGTGGAGTGCGTGTGTGTGCTTGGAGCGTGCGTTTGTGTGTGGAGTGTGCATTTGTGTGTGTGTGTTTGGAGTGTGTGTGTGTGGAGTGTGCTTGTGTGTGGAGCGTGTGTTTTTGGAGTGTGTGTGTGTGCTTGGAGTGCGTTTGTGTGTGGAGTCTGCGTTTGTGTGTGTGTGTTTGGAGTGTGTGTGTGTGTTTGGAGTGTGTGTGTGTGTTTGGAGTGTGTGTGTGTGTGTGTGTGTGTGTGTGTGTGTGTGTGTGTGTTTAATTTGCGATAATGTTTTCTTACACCCCAACATGGTTCATCGAAAAGTCAAAACATTCATTCACTTTTATCATTTTATCTCTCTTCTCCCTTGTTTATCGAGGTGTGTGTGTGTGTGTGTGTGTGTGTGTGTGTGTGTGTGTGTGTGTGTGTGTGTGTGTGTGTGTGTGTGTGTGTGTGTGTGCGTGCGTGCGAATGTGCGTGCGTGCGTGCGTCGTGGTATGGTTGATGTGCTTATTCCTGTGTCCATACCCGGACTCCTGGGTTTCACAAATGTTTTAGATGTCAAGGACCTGCATCGCGTTCGGCTTTCCTCCCACGACAAGCTGACAAACTGTGACATAAACGACTTATTTTCGAATAGGATTTTAACCCAACTATCCCATTCACTACGTGAACATTATCCAAGTACGTGTTTCCCTAATGTTTGGATGAAAACATGTCACACACGGGATGTCAGAAATATATATTAGTATTAAGACTATCGCTTTTAGAGTGTTTCACAACGGGGAAATTACAGAATGATACTGAATTCATAAACGGTTTGGAACGTTGTAAAAAGTGGCTCCTCAAACTTGATGATGGCTTTCCCATTCTCTGCGTCAACACACGACAGTGCATCTGCAACCGAGGGGAACAATATTTCAGTCAATATAACATCCGCAGAAGAGTAAGCAACGAAGCTAAAATGCATAGGCATGTACATTATTGGGACATAAACAAACATAAATATAATTTCTTTATCATGTTCAAACTTCATTTTAACATTAAAATATCACTGCATATTTGAGTTATAATGTTATTCCACCTGATTCGTGTCCCGTGAAGATCCGGGTTAGAAATGCTCTTCAACAACCCATGCTTGTCGTAAGAGGCGACGGGATCGGGTGGTCATGATCGTTGACTTGGTTGATGTATGTCATCGTATCCTAATTGCGTGGATCGATGCTCATGATATCAATCACTGGTTTGTCTGATCCAGATTCGATTATTTACAGACCGTCGTCATATAGCTGGAATATTGCTGAGTGCGGCGTTAAACAACAAACAAACAAAATGTTGATCATGGACTTTGCGTACCTTGCGTCGGGTTAGTCATTTGTTCAGGGCCTTTATCTGTGAAGTGGTACACGGCCTGAGACAAGGGTCCAGCTCCACCACGTAAACACAGTGTAAACTTCTGATGAATCTGGTCGAAGGTCACCAACAACTCTCCTGTAGGGTAGAGCCAGTTGATCACCCCAGCTCCACACGAGGGGTCAACTATAGCCATGTACATATTGCCATCCTGGGGTTGCCGCCTGTCAACAGATTGATGCTATTGAATTAAAGTGAGTGAGTGAGTGAGTGAGTGAGTGAGTGAGTGAGTGAGTGAGTGAGTGAGTGAGTGAGTGAGTGAGTGAGTGAGTGAGTGAGTGAGTGAGTGAGTGAGTGAGTGAGTGAGTGAGTGAGTGAGTGAGTGAGTGAGTGAGTGAGTGAGTGAGTGAGTGAGTGAGTGAGTGAGTGAGTGAGTGAGTGAGTGAGTGAGTGAGTGAGTGAGTGAGTGAGTGAGTGAGTGAGTGAGTGAGTGAGTGAGTGAGTGAGTGAGTGAGTGAGTGAGTGAGTGAGTGAGTGAGTGAGTGAGTGAGTGAGTGAGTGAGTGAGTGAGTGAGTGAGTGAGTGAGTGAGTGAGTGAGTGAGTGAGTGAGTGAGTGAGTGAGTGAGTGAGTGAGTGAGTGAGTGAGTGAGTGAGTGAGTGAGTGAGTGAGTGAGTGAGTGAGTGAGTGAGTGAGTGAGTGAGTGAGTGAGTGAGTGAGTGAGTGAGTGAGTGAGTGAGTGAGTGAGTGAGTGAGTGAGTGAGTGAGTGAGTGAGTGAGTGAGTGAGTGAGTGAGTGAGTGAGTGAGTGAGTGAGTGAGTGAGTGAGTGAGTGAGTCCAGGGGAATCGATCCTGGGTCTTCGGCGTGTCGAGCGAACACTTTTACCATCGTCCTTTATTGTTAAAGAATCGAATGTAAGACAAAATATCTTATTGATTCGTTCATTGGGTTATTGATAAAATAAATACGAGCTGTATGATATGGTATCTCACTCATTATTTAATTCCTTATTCAGCATAATATATTGGACTATTACAATGCCAATTAAAATGTAAGTTAATTAAACTATGATTATACACTGTAGCGACCTACCCGTCTATGGTCACTTGGCATGATTGAGCCGCCACTGACACGAATGTTATGGCCAGGGCATACAACCGAAGGGGAAATAGCATCGTGAGAGAATAGAACGAATCCCTTACTGGAACTAAACGCACGCTTACAACAGGTGCATAAGGTTACATGTACCTTATCTGTGAATACGAAATGGGTCAGTTCAGAGAGTGAACCGTGACAAGATTAATTTCAAAACAGTTATTTCAAGAGCCCCAACACATATGATTATGATATACTAGTAGACGGAATTGTACAATCGGTGGGTGGGAGTGAGAGGGGTAGGATGCATCGAGATAAGATATTCAGCTACAAGCACGATTATTACGATTATGTTTTATTTAAAAATTCTCTCATTCTCTCTCTCTCTCTCTCTCTCTCTCTCTCTCTCTTTCTCTCTCTCTCACTCTCTCTCACAGTCTTGATTATGTGCTGAAAATGGTTCCACGACCTAACCTTCTCCGCATACCAATCACTGAACTGCTGTTAGTTCATTTTGTTATTGCCATTGAACTTCTTTAATACCAGTCAACAGAATGAACATATAAACTGTCCGTTGTTTTCAGAAAAAACACTGTTTATTGTGTGACAAATGTTATATTTTGGATAACACTTTCTTAGTAAAGTACAGATTCTCGTACTGTTTGGGGTTGTGTCCCGTGCGGGATTCGAACCCAACTGCCAGAGTGTGGCACCTAATCGTCAGCACACAAAGTCAGCGATCTAACCCACTCAGCCACCGAGGCTTCCACAAAAAATAAAAGTTCGACAACTGGAAGTCTAGATCACGTACTTTGTGTACCCCACTGTTTATTGTGTTAACGGAAGTGCTCTGCTCAGCGCTAATAAGCGGTGCTATTTGCCTTTTGATTGGATTAAGGTAAGGTAAGATTAAGGTAAGGATATGTATCATTCGACAGGGGATGGGGTGGGGGGAGTCACATTGATACTGAGTCGCATTTTTGGATAGGGGTCAGCAGTCGTATTAATTTGGAGACGCATTAATTTCAAGATGTACAGTATTTGGTTCTCAGAAATTGAGATTTAGAAAAATACCGACAATATTACAAAAACAATTTCAACAAAAATGGTGAAAACTGACAGCGATGACTCTAAATAGACAATCCCAAAATGGCGTGCAACCTCGCTCCAATGACACGCCGGATTTCAAAATTTCATACACATTATCGATTGGTCTAAACGTTTGTCCTGACATTGACCACCCAGACTTTATACATGAGGACTTTTCTTCGAATCAAATCGAATGCAGCTTTAAGAACAATTAGAGCAATTAAAGAAAATAAAGCCTGCTTTAGGTAGCGACACATATTTTAGAGTGATAGTGTTAATATGAAAATGTTGTCCGATATGTTGACACCCTTCCTGAAGCTAGATTGTTCTGCCCATGTAACCTCAAGTAAAGCTTTAGGTCTATAATGTGATGATTCGAGTGGGTTGGTTTTAGAACTGTTTTGAATAGTATACCAGTTATATCACGGCGGGTCAGCTTGATGTGGGAGAAAAGCCCGATGTCTTAGACAATTACCACTTTGGTAAAACCCAAGAGCACGGGTATGTTGCTGATTAACCTAGAAACATAATCGGAGCGAAACTGGTTTTGAACCCAAGATCACAGGTTTCTGGCACGCCCAAGGGACGCAGCTCTGCACAGCGAATTGTGGCGCCTTAGACGACTGGGCCACTGGTGCCCACTCTTGTATTTTTGATTAATTACACCCAGAGTTCATCGTTGCGGATATGTTCCAGACGATAAGACAATGTTATAGAAATATCTAATCATATGTAGACAAAGCAGAGGAGTGTCCTTCAGAAAACTCTATTGGCATTCCACTAAATCCTGTTACCTTGCCAGAATGCTTAGTCGAGATTGCGTTTTAGAATTCCAGTAACGATATATCCTTATCTAGATCCTTTTCAATATCGATCAATCAACTCATCAGTTTTTGATCATACGAAAATCGTTAACTGAAGCAGAAAAAGCAAGTTACCTGTTGACACATTAATTCCACAAAAGGTGTTCCCAGTGATTTTGTAGTTCTGCGGCTTGTGGCAACGGTTTGACACAGAACCAAACTTTTTTACAATTTCTACTGAAAAGAGCACTTTCAAATTTGTTAGTGTATATTTAAATGAATTAGGAACAAAATTCCTTTAAATACTTTCCAACTTCAATGCACTTTACTTGTTGACGAGCATCGAATGCAAGGAAACTTGACGGGCTGCCAAGCGAGCATGCCCACATTCACAATCAAATCAATTATATCCCTTTAGGGAGGTGGAAATACATTTATCAATGTAGGTGGAAGAGAATTATTGCCCTTAAAATCACAGGCACGTTGACCACGTGGTAATAAAACAGGAATCCAGTGTCCTTCAAAATACAATATGTTGTCCAAGTTGAAATATTTTACAAACCCATTTTCCTTATAAACATAAATATGTGGACAAATAGGTAATAACTTCAAAGTCCATTGTCCTTATAATCACAAACATGTAAACCAAGTGCAGATATATAAGAGATCCCTTGTTCTTATAATTAAATAATTGTAGTCCAAGTGGTAATTAATTAGAAAGCCATTCTCTGTACAAAAACAAACATGTAGACGTTGAAATATAATTGAATTCCGTTTTCCGTTATCCTTATAATCACAAACATGTGGACCAAGCGGCAATCGATATCGTCCTGGGTTATCGTCCCTGGACCTGAAAATATTTGAACATAAATATTAACATAAAAAATACAAAACACATATATGTTCCGAAAAATCGAATACATAATTTCAGAAGGGTTTACATGCGTGATGTATACCAGCATGAGAGTTTAAAATCACCAATTTGTTTATATAGGAACAGAATAATGTCATTGTGTCATTGACGTCAGACCGGTTACAATGACAGACGAAACGTCATTGATGCCGTATTTCCTACCATGACTTTTCAAAATACGTCTTTGGCATAAAGGCATTTACAGACGAAAGATAATTTCTAAGTGTCTAAACACACAAACACGAAATTAATACGAGGTAACCATTGGTTCTCCTACACCAAATCAGAATCAGTCGTTCAACAAACAGTTTTCGTGGAGCCTTCAGTCCAGAGTGAATCATCTGGCAGCTGTGATTGGATGATTTTGTGCAACATAAATCCACCCAGTAATTAAAACTGACCATATTTTTTCTATATTTAGTGCTATCTTTTTCAACATGATGACTTATGCTGAATGGGACCACAATTATTTTCAAGCAAGTGACATTTGGTGCGGAACTGGGGGTAGTATGTTTTGCTGCCTCTATTCGAAAAAGGTATGGCAGGTAATAGACGTTGAACGCTTAGTTATTTTAAAAAAAATATAACATTGATAATGATGTCTGTGGGAAAACATTTGGTTGTGTGTAACCCTGAAGTGGTGGTGAAGGTGTGATGACGATAAATGTCAGTAAAATTAGTTTCGGGCGTGTCGATAAATATCTGGTGTGTTCACAAACACAACACCTTGATGGAATACTGATTAACATACGTATGGTGGCCCTTGTATTGCCCGCAATTCCGCCTGAAGAACTACCCCAAGCCAGGCAGGCTACTAGATCCGGTTTTAACGGTAGATGTTACGTTTCGCCTTCCTGTTTTTATACGGAATTCACTATTGATAACAGCAGCAGATTTGAATCTCTTGCGTTGTGTAAATGAATGTAATGTGAAGATTGTGTCCAGTTGACGTTGTGTTAGGCCTATAAAGCTCAGTTCTCACTGCAACCCCCCACCCCCCTTCTATCGTACCCACAATATTTTAAAGCGTGTCCTCAGCTCAAATGCGTTGGTGATTGTGAGTTCCCCTGTAGGCACACACATTTTGTTCAGGCATGATGTAAAATGTCATTGTGATTAGATGTTGTGTTTAGATGCAACGCCACAGTATTTTAAATGTACACCTCAACAAATGCTCCATTTAAATCACACACACACACACACACACACACACACACACACACACACACACACACACACACACACACACACACACACACACACACACACTAATGTAGAAGAGACATAACATGGTTGACAGAACCAGGGAGAGAGAATGAAAAAGAGTTGTTTACAAGAGTTAAATGCATTGGATAAACAGTAATTTACAAAAATGGTATAGTGGTACGTATGTACATCTGCAACAACAGGATTTGCCTTGAGATACTACAGTGAGTAAGTTTGTTTAGGAACCGATGGCGTCCATCTATAAATCAATTAGCGTGTGTACTTGCACTTACTGTCAATATGAACTGGCATATGTCTTGAATACAAAAGTGTGGAAGACATATTCAATAAGTCTATGCATAAATAAATTATACAGTATGCGGAAGTGTATACCTTACTCGTAGGGGAATTTAACACATTGCTCTGAAATTGTGTTGCAATTTCCAACATGCCACCCAACAGGTCTTTCATCAAGGAGATCATAGTTTACAACGCTCTTAAGCAGTGAAATCGAAACTGGTTGGCCAGGAAACCACGAGGTGTATTCCAAACGTGAGTTGTCGGTCCACTTAAAGTCGTTTCTACCACGTCGCAAGCCCGTCCAGATATTTCCTGTCGGAAGAATAGAACATGATACATATGTAAATGTATGACACAATATTTTGATAAACGAGATCATGATTTAAACGAAAAGCAAGTCCCAAATAGTAACTACATTCACGAAGAACAGTTTCCAAAGTGGACTTGGCTCTGTGATGGAGACATAATAATTGGTGGAATGTGGAAAACGGAGACATTGTACGATACACATCAGACACACTTCAATCAAACGTGCTTGAAGTAACAACTTGCCCAAGAATAGGCACTGGACACTTGAGTTATTCCAGACCCTCCATCTTTTGATCGACATTGTTTAACAATGTAGATGTACAATCAAGCACACCCTTCCTTTGAAGACTCCAAAGAGGGCATACAACTTTGACTCAAAAGTTCTTTTATATGGTTACAAAATTCAAGGCCTTAGTAAAGCTTTCATCATATTTTAACATTGTAGATATGTCTGAGACTTTTCCAAATTTGATGTTTCTGTTACAAAATGTTACCTGATGCAATTCCCTATTCTGACTTGTA